CCTTACCTTACATTACATTACATTACTTTACATTACATTCAGCTACCACAGACCCATCTTAAGCGTAACTAATTCAAGTTAAATAAGCAAAGTCTTAATCAAACTTATCTCAATTGTAAAGGATGTATAAAGGAAATATTTAGAATAAAGCCAATATATAAACTTCCTTTCCGTAAAGACGTATTTACGTCAAATTCTCCTTACCTTACATTACATTACATTCAGCTACCACAGACCCATCTTAAGCGTAACTAATTCAAGTTGATTAAGCAATATCTTAATCAAACTTATCTCAATTGTAAAGCGGGATTTAGAATAAAGCCAGTATATAAACTTCCTTTCCGTAAAGACGTATTTACGTCTAATTCTCCGGAACCGTGGTTCCACTGACAACTTTTTTCATCAGAAACGTAATTTTCGTTGTCCAGTGACTTGTTTTTAATTGTCAACCCTTCAGGCCCACTGGTAACTATATATACCACCTGCTTTAAGAATCATTAACTCTGTGTGTTGCCCACAGAGTGTGTTTATGTGCTTTGTGTGATTCTCGGAATAAAGAGTTAACTTATTTCCTTAAACAGCGTTAACCAGCTGATCGCTGTAATGGATATGAGTTGTGTTTTCTTTGCGGTTCGGATTGAATGATTATATGGCTTCTGCTTCATAGGAGGAGCCAAGTATTTTGCTCAGTGTGCATGAAGTCCTGTTTATTTTCAGTTTGTATTATTAAGTTGTGAAATCTGCTCTCGTTTTCCGGTCAGGTGGCCGCGAAATGCAGATTCTACAGGGTGATCATGAGCAGTGCGCTGAGGTTGTGTTTCTTTGTCCTGCAGATATCCGCTTGCAGTTGACGGAACAGCTGCGATGTCTCGACATGCGGATGGAGTCACAGGTGGCTGTCGTAGCAGAGCTCCAAGATTACTTCCGACGCCGTGCGGAGGTCGAGATGGACTACAGCAAGAACCTGGACAAGTTAGCCAAAAGCCTCCAGCTTCGACACAAGGAACAAAAGCAGAAGTGAGTGAAATGTTTCCAGTCATTGCTACTCGGTTAATGTCGGATGAAGGAGGATTATAATGCATTAACCTCGTCTTATGCCTGAAAGAAATTAATAACATAACATGTCGCGAACATCTGACAATGGGTGGTCCTACTGCTTGAATAGGATTTAACTGGCTTGGATCCAGTGGTGGGTGGGGTCTTGTAAAGATAATGATGAATGTTCGGGTTTTGTTAATATAAAAGACAGGAAATTTATCTGACAAGGCAAATTAATTTCAGTTTCAGCAATGATTGTGATCCATGGAACATGTTAATATCTACAATACGCGTATGAACTTGTGCTTTTCATAAAAGGTGGTGGTTTTTGATCACTTGAGTGACCGAATTTCGCAAGGATTCTCCTTATGGAATTCAGTTATAATTTGTCTTCTTGTAAGCTTTTTACACAGCCACGGTGGACTAGCGGTTAGAACGCTGGCCTTGTAATCCTGGGGTCTCGGGTTCGATTCCCGGCGGTGCCCGAATTTATAACTTGTGTTGGGCAAGGCCGTGGTCTAGGCAACACGGAGTTTTCCTCCGGG